ATATAAAAAGTAAAAAAAATCTGTGGGTTTAGAAAGAAAAAATAAAATGTCACATCACAGCTTAGGCAATAGCAAACAACTTAGCAGATCTTCCTTTCTCTGCTCTCTAACCAGCTGCAATGCAACATCAGAAAAGCAGTTTCATTTCTCCCCTCTTACCCTCCAAAGGCCCTACCACCTATGGCAGTTATGGGTAACTGCAGTGTAGTACAGTGAGATGTGTAACTATAGCCAGTACAGGTGTATACCACAGGCAGGAGGGGAGGCACAGGGTACACAGAACAGATATGAGAACTACCAAGTTAAACAAAATACTTGTAAAAATATGATACAGGTAAGTAGAGCACAGACAGTCAACTACGACCTAAGACTGAAGGAAATGCTCCCCAAATACCCTTTCCTCCTATTGGCCCAAAGTCAAAAATTCTTCATATTGGTTCTTTTGGATATCTTCCTTATAAAGTAGAAATATCCCTGGAAGGGATAATACATGAACTACTTCAAACACTGATTAATGACTTTATAGTTCAATTTTCTTTTTGTTTTTTTTGGAGAGATGTGGTCTCACTCTTGCTCAGGCTAGTCGCAAACTCCTGCCCTCCAGCGATCCTCCGGCATCAGTCTCCCAAAGTGCTAGGATTACAGGTGTGAGCCTGACCTATTTTCTTTTTATTTTTTCGAGACAGTGTCTCCCTCTGTCACCAGGCGGGATTGCAGTGACATCATCATAGGTCACTGCAACCACAAACTCCTGGGCTCAAGCATTCCTCCTGCCTCAGCCTCCCGAGCAGCTGGGACTACAGGCCACATCACCATGTCCAACTAATTTTTCTATTTTTTGTAGAGACAGGGTCTCGCTATATTGCTCAGGCTGGTTTTGAACTCCTGGCCTGAAGTGATCCTCCTGCCTTGGCCTCCCAAAGTGCTAGGATTACAGATGTAAGCCACCACATCCGGCCTTCTTTCTTTTTCAAAGGGCACAATACCAGGTATAAATAGAGACAATAATTGGAGGAAATACTGATTGCTCAAAAAAGAGAGGATTAAAGAAAATACTTCACACTGGCTTTATATGTATGTACTTTAAAATTCCATCAGATACTGATTTCTACCACTTTGTTCCTCCATTTCTGAACAATCCTACACAAAGCTGATCAAATCGCTGTTCAAAAGGTAAGAAACTTGGATCACCAAGACAGGCAACTCATATTAACACAGGGCTTCCTTCCTGTCTTCCCCACTACCTCAGCTAAGCCCTGGGCTATCTCAACATCTACATCCTTGGTCTAGTACTACAATATCATATTTTCTTTCCTAAATCCTGACTTCTCTCCTCAGGCAATAAACAGGTTCCTCTCTCCAGAGCTTAAAGTACAAAACATAACCTTCCATTGGCGCAAACTCCTACTCCCTCGAGCTATCACAGCCAAAGCTCCATGAATTATCTGTAAGATTGATCCTTTAACAAGACAGGTTTTAACTATGTGGGTCCATTTACATGTGGTTTTTTTTCAATAAAAGTTACACCAAGTGGGGGAATGCCTGACTCTCCTGCCTCTCCATACACTTTCTCACCTCTTCCAACTCTGCTATCCCTGAGACAGCAAGACCAACCCTCCTCCTCCTCCGCCTAGTCAACACGAAAACAATGAGCATGATACCCTTTATGTTGATTCACTTCCACTTAATGAATAATATTTTCTCTTCCTTAGGATTTTCTATTCTAGATCAAAGAAGATTTAGATGATTTGATAATAACAATGTTTCGTTTCCTGGATTTCAGAAAGAAGGCAGAATTACTAAAGACATTACTGAGACAACTGCCAAAATTTGAAGATAGATTGCAGATTAGATGATAATATTGTATCAATGTTAAATTTCTTTTTTTTTAATGTTAAATTTCTTGATTTTCGAAATCATAATATGGTTTTGCAAGACAATCTCTTACAAGGACCACAGTGTGAATTCAAAATTCTTGATCTTAGGAAAATATGAAATGAAGTATTCAAAGGTAAAGAGGTATGATGTCTACGACTACTTCCAAAGGATTCCAAGGAAAAAAAAATGAGTCTAAATATACACATATATAAATACATGTAAATGTGTGTGTTCTTGTACATGCATGTGGGGAGAGAAAATAAATGGGGAAAATGTTAACAACTGGCAAAGCACGTATGAGTACTCTGAGCTATTCTTTCAGTATATCTTTACGTCTGAAATAGTATTAAAATGACACAAAAAAGAAAGCAGATTATAAAAAATTATGAATGGGGATTATTATTGATAGTTTAACACAGCCTAATCTAACATGATACCACTCTAAATTATCAAATATATTAGACACAAAATATATAAACACATTTTACATGGTCTTGTTATTCATTTGTCTATCCTAAAGGCAAATCATCTTTTAAGAAGCCACCAACTCTTCTTTCTCCACTCCCAACTGCTTCGATCAGCCTTAAAAAAAAAAAGCCACTAACTCAACACATTTTGACTAAGTTAAATTTAATTATTAGATTCTCTCCATGGTATAAAGCTGAATTACTCAATTCTTTCCCTACTGATTGAATGGTAGATATTCAGGTAATTGCCAAAATTAGAAATTAGTGAGAACTGACTGAGTTCCTTGAAATTGGTTTCCCTAATTAGTACTAAAACTGTAGTTTAGTTTAATCCCACTGCCAAGTTCTTTCTCCTACACTTAAAGCTGATGCACTCAAAGAAAGAAATATCTAGCTGTAGTTCAGTGAGCCAACAAATGGCACTATACAAACGTCTATCGTCACAAAAGAACTCACTTTTAAGCCATGAAGTAGAATATCCTCAAGTCAAGATCAAAATATACTTACTTTAAACAAGGGATTATTTCCTTTGGCAACACCAAAGTAGTGCTTGTCATTTTCAGATGACAGGTTTCCAAAGCTTTATCTAAATACTTTATAAAATATCTTATGTGTGTGTATCTTTTAGACAAATTTTGTTTCCAAACGCCCAGAGAACTGTTTCTCTATGAGATACTCACTCTCTGCCAACTGTATTTTCCCCTAAAACAGAAACTTCAAATTGGATACAATATATTTCAGTATAACTTTTATTGATTTTCTCCACATATATAATTAATGTTTTGATAGCTCCATATGGCTTGATACTTTAAAATCTCTCAAGGCTTTTCGACATATTTTTTTTTAACTAAAAAAATTGGAGCAGGGAGTGGAGTCCAATCTATCTCCCTCACTTGCAAGATTCCATTGCAGTGGTCCCTATACCTATTACCATGGGCCTCTTGTATAAAGTCTGCCTTACCATCTTAAAAGATAAATAAATAAACAAATTGGAGCAAAAATACTATTGTAACACTCATAGGGGAAATTTTTTAAAAAGCAAACCTAAGAAAATATGTACCTCTTTACAACAAAAAATAACTAAATTAATATATTGAAGACACAAAGGTAGTTAATTAGGAAAAAGATGATTACAGAATAGGAATAAAAGGAAAACGTGATTAACCTCACTGTAGCTTCACTCCATAAAGCGGCAGCTTTCCATGACTACTCTTGGGAAAGAAAAGCAGAGAATTTGTGTGTGGTTTGGGGAGCCAGACTTACTTTACCCTCTTTATCCTTCTACAGTTAATTTTCTACTGCATGAATGCCGTAAATTGAAACTAGAAGGAAAAGTTACCACCCACCACACCCTAGTGAATCCCACAACTTACCAGCTACAAGCAATTAGTAAACATCTATGTATGTGAATGCAGTAGTGCTTGGCTCTGCTGGAATAAAGATGTATCTTACCGTTAATCTCGGATACAGCTCAGTATCTATTTCCTGTTTGCTTGTCATTAATCTTTTTCTCTTAAGTAGAAAGTAGAGCCCCCAGATTAAAGACATCTAGAATAGGTCACATCATATTTCCTATGCCACACAGGAGTGTATCAGATCAAGAAAGAAGAGTATGACACAGATGGCTAGCTATATGATGAACTGCTTTATTCAAGGAGGCTATTAAAAGCTCCATAAATAGCAGCTATTGCGGAATGTTTTAAACGTATTGTTTTAAATTTAAAACTGGGGTTTTAAATGTATTTTTTCATTTAATTCACACAACAAATCATACCCCCATTATACATTTGGAAAAATTGAGATTCAGAAAAGTTAAATAATATGCCTAAATTCAGGTGAGGCTTGAATGCAGGTCTGCCTGAGTTAACTAGGCAACAAACGGGTAGCCACTATATATTTTTGATTTAAATCTATCAATAGGCAGCAGATGTCATCCCTGCAAGGTCTCAGCAGAAAAAGGAAAAACAAACAAAAAAAAATAGACAGCAGACACTCTCAAAAGTAATTCATAAACTTCAAGAAATGCTTTCTAAACTACAAATTTCTCCAATTTAGTAACTGATAAAAAAGCAGATATATGTATCTAAAGTATAACCCATTCAAACTTACTTTGCATTAATAAATAATTTCCTAAAAATGAAATTTTCAACTCTTTATACTGGTAAAGGCCTTTGAAGAATAAACATATTACTAGCTTATTATCTACATTTGAACAATATTGCCAACCATAAAGATTAGAGTACGCCAAACTAGCTTTAAGGAATGTAAGTGAAAAAATCCAATGTAATTACATGTCTGAGAAGAAAATGATTTACAGTTTCTTAACAAAAGTGCAGTTTCCACCTTTTTCCTTTTCTTCTCAAGGAATATTGCTATTACTAAGTTAGCAGTAGCCCCATTATCCATCAAATGGTTCCATGTAATTCAACCTTCTTCCCCAATGCAGTAAATGGAATCTGAAATCTTTTACTTAGTCCACTATATTGTGGCATTATAAAATAAAAGAAATTAAATTCTATTTCTTTTTTAAAAAATTCTTATTTTCTTTCAACATCATGTTTTATAAAACCTGCGGAGGTAAAAAAGGCTTTGAGCCATAATTAAGTCATCTATGAAAATTACCACAAATAAACTATTCGTTTGTTAAAAGGATATAATTGGGAGGAAGAAAGTTCCAGCTCAAGACTTGATTGGCGAGTGCAAGGTAACGCTGAAATACTGAAGACATCTGTGCGTTGAGGTTTTCCCGCCTGCTAAACTCCTGCAGAACTTCAACAGTTAACATGAAGATCTGACGAAGGTCTTCTTCCTATAGTCAATAAATCACAAATATTTTTGTATGGAAAACTTACCCAAAATGTATTCCCTTTTAGACCCATAAGATAAAACCAGCAAAAACCTTAAAATTTCCAGTGGAAAACACTATTTCCTTAGGAATATCTTCCATTTTTAGGCTTCTACTCATAATTTACATCACACTATGCTTTCAAGTGACACCAGTTTGAATATTTACTGTAATATAAATGCCATTCCATTAAAAAGAGAGCCTTTGACAACTACTGCAGAGCTGGAGGAGTCAGTGCAGAGCCCTAGGATTTAAGCCAATGCCTTCACATAACTTTCCTCGGGAGCCAAACAATACAGACGAGACAAAGAGCCCACACCATCTGCAATAACATTTTAAATACATGGCCCTCTTTGGCATTCTTCCAGTCCTATTTTTAAGGCCAGCAGAGTCCCATCAATTGAATTAATTATATCTAAACACAATTAAGAAATAAATAATAAGAAATAAACAATAAGGATCTTTATAGTAGCAATCCTCTTTTAAGACTAGAATTGAGTAATTTTAAACTGTCAACTATGTTCACCAAAGCTATCACTTTACTACATCCTTTGAAATCACAAAATGAACCCTCAACTACCTAAAATAAATGTTCTCACCCACTAGAAACAGATTGCATAAAAAGTGAATGATACAATAATTAAAACACAAGAACAAAAATACCAATACCTGAAAAACTCTTTTGCAGTTACCATGGAATTCCATACTCAATCCAATGTTGCTGGTTTTACTTGAACTTGAAAATTCACTTAATAGTGCAGTTAGAATAGAACAGGCCAGAGTTTGCTGTAATTATTCAATAAGAAATGATTGTGAGGCATTATTTTTTCAATGCTTTGTTTCAATACATTTGTTCAAACATAAGGAACATTTTCTATCTTTAGATATCCCATTATATTTTTAGATCTTATAACTACCAGTCAGAAAATTAGAAATGACAAGATAAAGATTAGCTCTCCTTTCCAGATGTTGACTACAGTAATATAAATCCATCTGAGACTTGAACTCAGGACACACTCCTCCTGCTTAATCATAGAAGTCAAATGATATTTTAAAATAATAAGCATTTAATGTATTATTTCATTTAATTCACACGACAATCCATGTCACCATTTTACACTTGAGACAACAGACTTGGAGAGAGTAAGTTATTACCCAAGGCCAGCTAAGATTTGAACCCAGGTCTGTCTGACTCTGATGTTTGTAAAATGCATTCCCAAACCGATGAAAAGTGAAACAGATTTTGCAGTCTCCAAAATATTAACCAGGTAGTACCCAAAAGTTTTTTAAATAAAAAAATGAAGATATTCCTTCTCATTGTTTCTATCCAACAGGCTCCTACTGTCAACTCATTGATTTTATTCACAGACTATTTAGACTCGAGGTACCAAGGATGAAGAGAGGATACAAATTATTTTGGCACGTTTCCAGGAGTTAAACAGAAATATGCACACTACCTCTGAACAACCGAAAGATTAAAGTCAAGACGATACTATTTATGCAAGCTTATACGACAGCTGAAGAGTCATACCCACCCACCAACTGCAACATCTTTGTTCAGAAATGCTTCTGATGTCAGTACCTTGACCTTACAGATGCTTATCTTAGCAAATCTTAGCAAATATACATAAAATTAAATTCCTGAAGATTGGCATGAGGTATTTGTTGAAAGTGACAGTGATGGTTCTGTGGGTGACCAATATACTATGTGTCTGTTATTGCATACGTCCGAAATTTTCCTTTAAGAAATGTAAAAAAAAAAAAAAAGAATTAAATTTCTACTTGCCTCTTAATCTCAACTAAAATAAGCATGACTGCACAGCTAATATTTATGGAAGACACACTACTCCATACATTCACGCCATTTCCCAGACTTTTCCACACCAGAAAGTAAATGAAAATTCTGTGGGATACCAATGGAATACGTCTGCTACAATGACAAAAGTTCTCTGAATGCTCCTGGTTTAGCTTACATATATATACTTTGTAATTTTTACTCCAAAATGTACATTTGTTTTAACATAAAAATGTCCCCTCCTCCTCAAATCTTCAAGAAATGTGCCTCTGTTTAACTGCCTTTGTATGGCTCCAGGCACATGGAGAGGAAGGAACGTGGTCTGAGAAACCAGGCACTAAAGCCTCTCAGAGAAAAGTTTATCACATGCTCCTGTCATTTTACTGTTTAAAGGGATCTTAGAAACTCAGCAAGTACAATCCCTTTATTCTTTAGTTAACAAAATCGTAATTCTTAAAAATGGCTTTCCTTTAGAATGGTGATTAATGATTTAAGTACCAGCAATCAACACTTCCCAGACATATTGAAATAACATCAAGATGGGGAAAGTAGGTATTAAATCAAATTAATGAAATTCAGAGGAAAAAGTTAACTCACAATGATCTAACAAGATGAATTCCAAGATCTTAGAATTCTGAAAACAATTTTTACAAGTCTTAGCCTTGGCTTTTCACTTATCCTTTCTAAATTGGATGTCAGCCAACAGAACATTATAAACAGCTACCTAAATGTTTGAGAAAATTTGTTTTACTAAAACAAGGAAATTAATTTCAGAAATCTCAGACAAGATAATCGATCTATCGAAATCAGAATTAAAAAAAAAAACAGAATTCATGTACAACTTATACAAAAACCTGCAAGCTAAAAAGAATCCAGAGGTGCTAATTAAACACAAACTGCTATCATTCTTACACATAATCTACAATAATTTTCTATAAGTAATTTACAATTTGCCAGATTGTTTTTGGTGCATTCGCCACAAAATGCCATATTTTAAAACCACGACCGTATTCGAAATTTCAGTAATAGATCTTTAATTATTTAAAAAATGTACTTACATACAGCTCTAATTTCATCTGAAATAAACATTTCCCAAGATTGCATACACACGTTTACGGTTAAGACGTGACACAAACGAGTGAAGGGAAGGGGCAGAGCAATGAAAGGCGACAGCCTTGCTGAGGCTGCTCCTGCTCAGAAAAAGGAAGGATTTTTAAGTCTCCTTTATCTTTAAACTTCATCAGACAAACAAGGAGCCCCCAGTCACATGAAACTGCTTTTAAGTTGTAGCAATAAATGTATCCCTCCAAAACAGCAAGGTTTCACATCAATGAAATACAAATTCAATTCA